CACACACACACACACACACACACACACACCCCTGCCTGCTTCTGCTTCAAGCTTCTTGCCTTTTATGACCTTCCTGGGACGCCCCTTTCCCAGACATTAGCTGTTCCTTTTCCTCTCAACAAGCACAGCACTGAGGTACAGCAGGAGAGCAGTACATACTTACAGCTATGACAGTTCTTTTAAAGGCTTAGGGCCACTGAAGAAAGTGAGCAGCAACCACGTCCAAATGTACATGTGGGAGCAGATACAAAAGAACTTCATTCTGTCACTCCATGTCCTTTCCCTGATTCTGGAGGGGTAATCTGTACTACCCAAAACAGTAACATCAGACTACTCAGTTTTCCCAAACCATATCATTGTTTCACCACTCCACACCTTTGTACATGCCACTCCCACTGGCTGGAAGGTCTTGGGTGATCCTCAGCTGAAACATTTGCTGGGTAATTTCCATTCCTGTTCAAACTTTTCTTTCACTAAGAGCCCAAACCCCTAGACCCTTCCTTTTTTATCACCTCCTAACCTCTTTTACCAGCTACTACAGTCCAAGGAACATGCTAAGTGCTGGACACTTATCTCACGGTTATTTCTCATTTATTGGTCTGTGAGTCCATGTCCCATCCAACTTCTTATCTCTGGAACCTAATACAGTGCTACACAAAGAAGCATTAGCAAATGTTCACTCAATGAATATATACGTGCATCATATTGATACCACCAAGATTTTCAAATTATATGCCTTTGTTTTTTTAGTGGTGTTTCACATACATTTTTAAGCCCTACTACCTTCCACTATAGGTAGGAAAAATTATGGCGGTTTTCTGATTCGGAGTCTTAGTTCTCATTAGCACTGGACCTGGATAGGAAAACTGTTCTGAGAAGCCAGCTGGTCAATCTTATAGAACTGATACAGCTCTGGAATACTGTCTTGGACACAGCAAGTATTCAACATATACTTTGTTTAAAGCTTAGATAAAAGGCTTCGCTGGGCCAGGGATATAGCTCAGTAGCACCTTGCCTGCCTGGCAAGCACAATGTCCTGAGTTTGATCCCCAATACTGCAAAAAAAAAAAAAAAAAAAAAAAAAGCTTCATATGGCTAAAGAATCATGATAAAACCACTGCTTCTCAGTCCTTCTTTAAGCATTGCTCTAATTTTCCCCATGAGCTCTTCTGGAAGCTTTAATCA